TGGTGAAATTGGAGGCAAAGAATCAGAAGAGAAATGGTTGTACTGGAGCAGACGTTATGGATTGAACTGTGATCTGTCGCACTGACTGTATTTGATTTGCGTTCCGTTAACTGAGCTCGTTCTTACTCAATAGAAAAGCTTTTCAGAGAAGTCATTAGGGCCAGAGATGGTCATTGTGTGTGCAAATTGATTGAAACTCCATCTGTAGTTCTACTCTTTATTACCTTTGACATTTATTCTGGCTGCCTATTTTCCTCTTTACGTCCTGCCTCGCAAATTTGAAAGATAGGTTGGCTGCCATAGCAACGAAAACAAAAAAAGGTGGGGCAAAACTGCAAAGTAAACAAACAAATCTCTAAGGCTAGTTTTTCCTGAGCAGGGCTGGAGTGTCTCCAGATCTTAAAGAAAGCTGAAGGGATTTTAGGTTTGACCTAAGGGCTCAAACCAGAGTGGCTTTACTTGGCTCATAGTGTTGGAGAAAGTCAGACGAGAAAATGTCAGCAGAGGCAGTTTTTGCTGCAGTACCACTGCTAACAAATGCTAAAATAAGTTACCACTCTAATATGTTAAGACCCTCCTCCCCTAAGTCTCCAACATATTTGTGTTCATCATGATCTTAAATTACCAGGACTGACAAATCAACATTACGACATGGACATATAACCCTATGTACCGTATGCATGTGTTTTGCATGTTACTGAAGTGAGGCTCTGAGTGGACGTGGTGGTGACAGTGTTCTGGAGATTATGATCTTTTCCCATCCTTCTGTTCCACAATGTGTGATTCAGCCTTCTTGTGACTCCGACCAGCGTTGCTCATGGCAGCCTCATGGACGCCTGCTTCGATCTCATCCCGGGATGACCATCTGTTCACAGTGAAACGTGACGCTTTTGACATTGATCATGTGGACTCAAAGAGAAATGCATCACGATTTATCTGACGGAATCTCACATGAAACATCCTCAGCGAAACTCGCAAATTGATTTCAGTCGTTTATTCATTTGGATTATATCTATCAATGGTGTTAAAATGTGGTTCAGACAATAAGTCTATCCCTGCATATACACCAGTTTGTCTGAGACCTTGTGTCTTATCTCCGACATCTAATCTATGCCTGATTAGAGGTCAAGTGGGCCGGACCAGTAAAATCATAACATAATTACCTATAAATAACATTAAGTCTCCTTTTCTCCTTTTTTCATGCAAATAAGTACAAGTTTATCAAAAAATCTTCATATTTAATAAAATATAATTTGATAAAACATCACAAACATGAAGTGTATGCGAATTTTTTACACTTTCAAAATTCAACAAGTGGGCCAGATTGAAGCCCCCATCGGACCGGTTTTGGCCCACGGGCTGTATGTTTGACACCCCTGCACCCTTGCTTGTCAGAATGAAGACAAACGCTTAAGACACTTAAGAACAAAGTTCCTATAAACAGCTTTTATACAAACTGCAATTCACTCTAATGGACGTACAACTTTCCGTTGACGGGACCGACTATCGAGTCAATAATACAGTATGTTGACCACAGGTCCCGGGGCTTTAGGGCCCATGTCCTCCAGCTCTGTTGACCTCAGGAAACATTGCTGAAAGGATCGCCATTGAACAAAGTGTGATACAGCGCTGTAGCTCGGACGATATGCAAAACGACTCAAATCCCTGAACGGCTTATTTGTGTAGATCAGGGAGCATTGATGTCAGCTTAGCAAATATGCACAGGAAGTATCAGTCAACAGCAGCAGCAGGCTGGCAGAATCAGAGCCTGGGGTACTTTCCACATTTCTTTTTAGCAGCTTGGCTCATAAACATAATAGAAAGATTTTTTTTTTTTTGTAAAATAAATTCTATATAGTCTTTTTTCCCACGTCCAAGTCACAGCCTCCCTGCCTTTGCTTCTCAATAACCCACATAGTGAGTGTGGAAGACGGGATTTGATGGAATTGAATGTCCTGGGGGAATGGGATAAATAAATAAATACAATAAAAAACATTCAAAACAGGGTGGTACCATTTAAAACTGAATCCCTTGGTGGAGTGTTTATAGTCTTGCTCTGCTGCTCAAACTGTGATCTGCTCCTTCTGGTATGTGTCCTGGGAACATGTGTGCGCTCACACTAATTTCGCCCACTGTGCTGTTGCAGGTTTTGTAACTCTATCCCCAAAATCAACAGTTCACACAGTTTGTTGTAGTGATGTGAGCCCTTAGATTCTTTTTGCTTCTGACTTTAAAACTGGATAATTTTCACCATAACCTGTCAACCTGTTAAAGTGGAAACAGATGTGTTTCGTCTTTAGGCAGTAGAAGAACACAAGTGTATATGCAAATATTAGAAGAAGAAATAAAGATGTGATGCTAAATAAAACATTTTTCTGGTCTTTGGTTTGATTCCACGTTAATATATCTCTCTACATTCCACAGCTGTTGAAAGAGAATTAGTGATTCTGTTAAATATTAAACATGAATACATTATCACACTGGGAAGATGTACAGCCTTTACAGTTACAAATATGAATGGAGCCACATGTGACATTTTATAGCTAAGAATATTTGGCCGTGGATTTCCTCACCTGATCCCCAGTTGTATAGCATCTGGATTCGACTTTGATCAGGGCTTCCCAGTGACTGATTGCACAGGGATTTACATGAAATGCATGCTACTTTTCACTGCATTGCTCTGCAGAAGTGGTGTTAATTCCAGGTCTGAAGCACAAACCCGTCTGAAGTCGGACGCTAAAAGATCTGGAAGACGAAACGACTCAGTTGTTCTGTGTGAAAATCCCTGGACACCCTCTGATTCAGAGCTGTAATGACATGAACTCGGACAGAATGTCTTTCAAAAAATATCCTTTCATTTTCAACAACATGCCTTTAGTTTTACTGCATTGATTTTCCACCACGGATGCTGTGACTCTATTTTCTCTTTGAACCAAGCAGATGATTTGTTGCTTCCACATTTTTGTGTGCACCCAGAGAAAACTCGTATGTTTTGCCTTTTCCTGCTCCACCTCCGCTGTTAGTTTGCTTCACAAATTTCCATCAGCATATA